GTTGCTACTTATCTCCAGCAGTTTGTCTTTAGCTACAGTCTTCCACTCTGCCTGGGAGAAACAAGTAAATAAAGCCCATATTTCAAGCTTGATTTACTCTGATACCTACTGTGAAAGATTATGACTCTTTAGGGAAATAAAGACAGGGTCAGGGAATTAGTGTACATAATGGTCATTTTGATAATGGGCCAACAGATGCAACTGGAAACATACTGTACACAATTAAGCATAATGCACTAATGACAGGTTAGAGTTTTTATCGCCTCTTTGCGATCGAGCAGCAAATCCAAGTTTAGCAGTAATAAAGAGTTTATTGGTGCTAAAGCCAAAGATTTTCTGACAGAGGAAAGATTTTTCCTTTCATAACAAGAGTATTAAATCCTTTGTTTACTAGGCTCTAGAAAAGAGATATGCAAAGTGGTTGTCAGATATTTCTTAGGAAAAAGCCAATTAAAGGGTAATAGAGTAAAGGATGAGAATTACCATTTGACTTCAAACGTCTCCTCTTCTCCCGCTCTCTCCTGCCTCCACCCCGTAACAGCGCTGTGCCCCTGCGGACAGCTTCTCTTCCCAAGAACTGCAGAAGCACAGATAATGATCCAAATCCAAGCTTTTTTTACTCATGGAAGTAGAGCAGCCTTGTCATATCTTAACAACTCTCGATTTTGTAGTATGGCAAGATCTCATCTGTAGGCTTAATTGAACACACTTAACCTCGTACCTGAAATACGGGTGGAAATGAAACAGAATTACTGGAGTAAAGGAAAATGGTGCCGGGCAGGACAGACACAGTTTTCTGTCCTCTCTACGGTTTGAGTGGGACGTTGGGAAGATCTTATTTGATAAAGGGGTGGAGGCTGGTGGTCACTGCAGGTCTTGGCTGACTTCCTTCCCAGGGATCTCACCTATGGCTGGGACAGATTTGGGTTTAGGCTGGTGTCACCAGGACACTCACACGCAGTATCTGATACAAGAAGAATTAAACCTTTACTTCCTGCTGAGGTTTATTTGCATGAATGACGCTTCAGGTCGGTGTCTGGTGGAAATACGCTTTACTAATGATGTTTCTGGGATGTAATAGGTGGGTTTCCACCACAAATATTCCTTTAGCCAAACACTATTTGAATCAGACCACGCTAAAGCCACCGCTTGTGCTTATAATACAAAGTATTTTCTTGCTTAACGTTGAAATTCAAGTACAAAAGTCTTTCTGGTCTATTTGCTACAACACCTCCTCTCAGAAAGGTTAAGAAGAGGTGAAAAGGATGAAAAGGCACTTGCCGGGTTTAAAGAAATCTTCTATGGAGAAAAACATCTTTCATATCACAAAAAAAAAAAGTCTCCTGTAGGTTGTTATGTGCATAAGGTGGAGGCTTAAGAGCAGACACATTTGCAGATGAACTGCTTTTACTAGCTTCTCCGAGACATGACATTTGTTCAGAAGATTAGCCAGGTTGTAATGTGTAGCATAATTGCACTGTGCGGATGTCCCAGAAGTGAAAACCTAATTGCTTGACAGGCCTATAACTTTGTGGTACGCTCTCACCTTGTTAGGTCCTTTTTCTGATGCAGTTCAAATGAAGTCTGGCCGCAGGTGTGCCTAATTTACCTCGCAACAGAACGTGTTGAGTTTAATTGCACAGTGGTTGTTAGGAAAAATTGGTGGGTGGAATATCAAGTGACTTTACTGTACGGGGATGGCAGATGGGCGTTGAGAGGCACTGCGAGCTAAGTGTATAGGTGAGGTGAGTCAATAAAAGATGTAAATTTTATCTTAAAATAGTGAAGTCTTGTGGTAGGCAATACATTTTAATTAAGATGGTAGCAGTCCCCTTTCTAGCAGCCTGAAAAAAAATCAGAGCAAAGGAACATCACACAGGGTGCATTTTCCCCCGTATCGGTATTTTAGGAACAGCTTAGTACGTTTGGGAAGACTGTTCTGCAAGGCTGTATTTATTAAAAAAGACTACAATTTATGTGTGTGATACAAAATATAGCAGGGAGTGGCAAATTGAGAAAGGCTTGCATTCCCATTCTGTTGGTAGCCACAAAGTTTGAGAGATGACCCCACCGAGCTCTCACTTCTTGCTGTGTCACAGAAATCTTGTCTGGGGAGTGCAGGGCTCTCAGGGAAGGTGTCCACCCTGTTCCTCTGCCGTAGGGATGGGTTCATAGCACCCACAGTCCTTGTTGGTCAGCCAAGAGCAACAATCCAGTTAGTTTTCTTCTCCTGGCAAGCTCTGAGAAGTTCCCTGCATGAGCAGAACGTGGTTTTTAACTTCTCTTGGCTTCCTCTGAAAATCTAGTCTTGATGCCACCTGTGCTCCTCTGTGAACTCTCTGAAAACACAGAGTAAAACATAAAATAAAATATCTCAGAATCCAGGGTTGTAGGAGAGTTGAAGTACGGGTGCTGCTTGTGTTCACCCCAGCTTTGTGCCTTCAATATTTAGCCCAGTACCAGGGTGATCCTAGTAAACATAAAGATGTCCAATTCCACCCCGTGTGGGTCCTTTTCACCAAATAATTGAATAAATATCAGTTCCAGTTGACGTTTAGTGAAAGGGTGCTTAATGGCCCTTTTTTTTTGACAGGATGTGAGCTCTCTGTATAGAAACAATTCATCACGAGTGCTTCACGATGAAAACAATCCACCAGGAGCAATACTTAGCATTCCTAGTGCACAATTCATTGGAGAATTTCCTAGCAATTTACAAACATTAGCTCAATAAGCCTCACAACACCCATTTGAGATCAGAAAAAAAGATAGATAAGATGTGCCTCTTCAGCCTGGCTGCGGCACTGAAGAGCTGTGAAGCTGGAGACTCTCCCCAGCTCCTGGCGCTGTCACCAGTGCCTGGTGGTCCCATACTGACATGGGCATCACCTGGTCCTTGCGCATCATCGCGGTCTGTGTGGTGGAAGGTGTGCAGACAAGAGCAGAGGTGTGATAGAAATGCTGTTACATTTAGCCTATACTCAGGTGACCCTCAAAAAACCCCCAAAATCAAGGCAGATAAAATTAGGGTGAGGTTGTGGCCAATAAAGGTGCAGTTTCATGGAGTTGCTGATAGTGTCCCTGCAACAGTGTCCAGAGAACCTGAATTCAGGTGAACATCTGAGCTAGGAGATCACATCAACCACTGTGGAAATCCAGCTGTTGTCCAGCTCAGCATCTAAAACCCCTTTACAGGTTTTGGAAGAGGAACTTTTAAAGAAACATGCATTTGGCTAAACTGATGGCATCGATTTATTCATGCACAGTTTGAGTAAACCTAGTTATTTCCCTCCTTGCCTCTCTGGTGTGAGAGATTGCTCCCTCAGCATTAGCATCCCGTATCGATATTAGGATCTCGCTCAAGGTTTAACTGAAAAGAAGGGCTGTGGTTAAAAGCACGAGTTGGTGATACAGGAATACTCCCATAATGCTCCTGTCCGGCCCTCGAAGCTCTGCAGGAGTGAGCATAATGTGGCTCAACTTTCTATTGGCCATGGTTGGGCCATGTTGGGTGCTGAAGAAGGGAAGAGGCTCCTGAACTTGCCTCCTGCCCTGCTGAGAATGTTGCTGGCACATGGAAACTTGTGGAGATGTATACAGCAAGAATAGTCACAGCCACTTATAAAGATTGACATGAATAAATAATAGTTGTTCATATCTTTTTACTCTGAGGGTGGTGAGAGCCTGGCCCAGGTTGGCCAGAGAAGCTGTGGCTGCCCCATCCCTGGAGGGGTTCAAGGCCAGGTTGGAGGGGGCTTGGAGCAACCTGGTGTGGTGGGAGGTGTCCCTGCCCAGGGCAGGGGCGTGGAACTGGATGCTCTTTAAGGTCACTTCTAACCCACACCATTCTATATGATTCTATGATATTCTAGATGTGAAAGCTCCTCCTAACATCACTATTCAACATGTATGAAGTTGCTGGGCTGGCGCATCTGAGAAACTCTGGGTGACTAGAAAGTCCCGAGCCTTCCCTGTCATTAGCTGTCGGTTATTAGCTGAAAACCAGACCTATAGAACACTTTTTAAATTATGGAATGGGAAAACATAGCTACATAAAGAAAAGGAGAGGCATTAGGCTGTGAACATCCTCCCGCGTGAGGGCGGGATGGTGAGGATGCCCCCACCTTGCATAGCCTGGGGGGTGGAGACATCCCATATCTGTTGTTCCCCAGCAGGTACAGGTGGGCAGTGTAAAGGAGTTTGAACTTTTCCAAGCTTTTCCCCTTCCTATACGTGCTTGCTGGGTCTTGGGAGGCGGCGATGCTAAAACACCGGTTGTTGGGAGATGCCTCAATGACGAGGGTTAGTCCCAAATAATTGCTGGTTGTGGCTCAGCAAAAATAAGCTGGATTTCCATCCTCCTGGTGACTCCTCACAGTTAAAGGCTGGCAAAGGTTGAAGAGGTCGTAAGACAGGGCCTAATTTGCCATGTTCCTTTTCAAAAACAATGAGGGAACCGGGGCCTTGCCGGTGGGCAGATCCCGCCTGGATCTCCCCGGAGTCAGCAGGAGTTGGATCGAGTCCCTTTGAATAGCGAGAGTTTCCAAACCGGAGGCAACGCCAAGTGTTTTTCAGAAGATTGATCATTCATTACCTTGGAATGTTTCAATGTAGAGGTCATTACTGCTAATATAAGTTGTGAAGAAATAAAACGTATTAAAAAAATAGAGACAAATTCTCATCTGGTGTAAGTCATTGCCTTTGAAGTCAATGAGTCACTGAAATCAACTTTCCCACACCGAGCTAAGGATATGGCCTGGAGTCAATACATTTGTAGTTGTTGAAAAATTAAAAATATAAATTTGCCTTTCCCTGGCAATAATGTTCTGTTTACAACAGAGATCTTGTGCTTTAAAATAAGTTCATTAACTAATAGGAAAGTAATATTTCAGTACCAGTATTCTTTTGGGTATAACTATTTATGATTAAATTTTATTAAACTTTTTTAAAATTGGATTTACATTTTGATGAATCTAATAGATTTCAATTTTGTATTTTTATAGATTCTTTCTAAAGTTTTTCCTCAAGTGCAATCAGAACTGTTTGAAGAATGCAGGCAACCCGCGAGACATGCGAAGATTCCAGGTACAGATCCCTCTTAAAGAATAAACAACATATAAAAGGCTTACTCACATCTTCATCTTGAGCTTTTTTTAATGAAAAAACAGTATTAGTGCTTCTATTTAGTGTAGTTCCAATGCTGAGTGACTGTAAGAAAAAACACTTTCAGTATGTTACGTTTCCCTCACTGATTTAAATGCTGGTTGTTGGGTCTTGCTGAGTTCTGCAGTGGACTGTAATGAATCAGTGCTGAAGAAAGTGAGTCTCTCAGAAAGTATTTCCCTGGTTTTCCTCCGTACTAACCCTTGCGTTGTAGTGTGGCGTGTGCTCCCACTTGCAGAGGTTGTCCACGTGTAGACCAAGTGGCCAAATCTTACCAGCAGCCATGACGGTGGAGAGCAGGGGAGTTTGGACCTCACATGGGGGTTTTTCACATCCACAACTCGTAAATCCAACAGCAGTGGTCCAACCCACGTATTTTTATTTCAGTTGTGTTAGAAAATGTTTAATACTTCACTTTCTTCTTACAGCCTTTGAAATACCCTGTGGTGAATCATAACACTGCAGAGAGGCAGCTGACGTGACGGACAAATGGTTTTCCTCCGTGTTTGGGGTCATTTGAAATGCTTGTTAGGAAATATATGCTTCTTATTTCAAAATATTTCACGATGATTCATATTTGAGGCTAATAATAAACTAGTATTGAGATGTTCAAAACTTTGGTGTTTTTGAGAAGAATAACTCGTGGTTAAACTTGTTAGAGCAAAACATGTGACATCTGTTTTCATGCGCAGCCAACCAACCGGCAGAGCCAGCACCCTTGAGCCAGCCAACAGAAAAGATCTGTAGCTGGAAAAAAAAAAAATTTCTTCAAAACAATAGAGCCAAGCCTCCATTTTTCATGCATCTCGGCTTCACGTGGCATTGGTGATATTGATCCATCTGAACAGAACAGAAGGTCAAACCTGGAATGAGTGGAAATGTCCTCTTTGTCTCACCGATGACTAAATGAAGCATCCGTCATGAGTGATCTTGTGGTCGACAATGGAGCCAGTAGGCACTAGAAAGACTTCCCGGGGTCTCTTTAGCTAATCTCCCTGCCTCTCAGAAGGTTTAACTGGACTTAACAGTGTGTCAGATCTCCAACAATATTTTTAACTGGTTTCACTGTCTCAGCACCTTTCTTGAGGTGCGTGGCAGGAATAAGCCGCTGTAACAAAGCAGAGCGTCTCTACTTTCTTTTGCTGAACTGCGGTGTTTTCCCCTGGTGACTGACCTATATATACATGACAGAACAAAAATAGTTGTCATTTTTATACGCACCTTTCTCTGTCTTTTTAATATACCGTGTTCTAGGAACCAAACCCAGAATTTTTTGCTGCAAATTGCCCGTGCACGTTTCGCAATGTTTCCTAAAGCCTGAGAAATCTCATTAAAAGGGAAAGCAGACGGGCCGGTGGCCTGGCAGCAGCTCGGCGGCCGAGGTGAGTGTGCAACCTCCCCCGAGGTGGATGGTGAGGAGAGGGACCGGTGTCCACTTCTGGGAGGAGAAGGTAGGGGAGAGGAGCAGCCTGGCGAGAGCTGCCCTGGGGCTGCTCCGAGGGGCACCGCAGATGGCTGTCTCTGAGGATGCACTGCAAAGGTGCCCTGAGAGCTGGAAGCTAATTATGGGCTGTGAATAAGAAACAGGATCAGAGGTGATCCAAAACAGAGAAGCCGAGGAGAATTTCCCTCTGATGCCTGGGAGCGGCTCCGTGCACGAGTTTCACCCCTTCGATTTTCGTTCGTGAAGCGTTTGGGTGTAGGAGCTGGTGTGAGGACCCTGGCGATGGTTTTTGTTGTACCCGAAGGTGAAATAACTATAAGATGGAAGCTCAGATGTGCGTTGGCTGATGCCGCCATCACCGGCAGGGTTGGTAAGGCCTAACTTAGCCGTGGCCTTTAAGGACTCTACTAACATTAAACCCCAAAGAAAACTCCGCAGTGATGACTTCGCTTAGAAAACCTGGAACCCGCACCACGGGACCCGTGCTGGAGTATTTAAATGAGATGTAAATGTCTCTCTGGGATACCAGCGACCGACCTGCGAAGCCGTGTTCCGCACAAACCCAGGCCCATCTCACGGTTTCCTCTTTGGCTCGTGTTCACGCGATACCGCTTCCGGAAGGGGTTTCACGACTCCATTGTGTAGGTGTTTTTATCGGGAAGGTTGTGCTTTTTGCATATGTTCCTTTTCCATTTTCTACTGAGAAGCAGCTGGAAGCCAAAGAAGGCCCTATCCATCATCTCTTCTATGGCCGGACTCTGAACCTGGACACAAGAATAGGAGCCTTTCACTCAAAAATAAAGGAGGAAATTCCATTGACATACCAGGGTCAATCACCATCCAAATGAACTTGAGAAGGGATACTTTTCATGGATTGAAAACACTTTCACTATTCATATTCAACTCGGGTCTTTTCAGATGCAAAAAAGTTCATTATCAGACATTAAATGTAATTGTAAAACTGACCTGGAGATCATTTACTGAAGAAAAAATAGGGAGTTACGATGGTTCCTGATTTATTAAGCTTTTTTTTTATTTGGAATCCTCACAACCCTTCATTTGAAGACAGTCTCAAGTGAACAAATTTTAATTAGATAAACTATCTAATCAATATATCAACAGATCAATCAAAACAGCAGCTTTTAAAATGAGTGGCTAGAGGGGTGTTTCTGAAACTAATGGCTAGAAGAATATTTCCCTGAATTGAATTCATTTGTTAGCATAATAGGAGATTAAACTCTAATTAGTGTAGCAGGTTCTGAAGAGAAACAATTGTGAGTTAAAAATCACCAGTGTTCGCCACATAAACACAGATGTATTCAGAGTTGTCATTCACTTCCTCTAAAGCCAAAAGGAAGGGGCTGTGATGTTGTTTGGTCTTAAAAGAAGACGCTGTGGATTCTATATCCCCCTTTGTGAAAACATGCAGGGGTTTTGTTGTTGTTTGGTTTTTTTTTTTTAAATTTGGGTTTTTTTGTGTTTGTTTTCTTTTGCAGGTTGTTGTATCAACAACAGTCAATGTGGATGGCCACGTGCTGGCTGTCTCAGACAACATGTTTGTACACAACAATTCCAAACACGGGAGGCGGGCTCGCCGCCTTGACCCCTCAGAAGGTACGGCCCCTTCTTATCTGGAAAATGGTAGGCACACATTTACATGTCTTTTTTTTTATTTGCAATGCTTTTTTTTTTTTCCTTTTTTTTTTTTTTTTGGCACCATACTTTATGTTGATACACTACTACATTTTACTTTTACATAATTTCTTCTCTCATCCATCAAACCACCCATTAAAAAAGTCCATTAGTATTTCTCAGCCCTTGTCAACCAGAATACGGTCGCTCCTGAATTTGCTTCTGACTTCTTTCTTTATTTAATACTTACAGTTTTGCAGTCACAACCAATTTTTCATCTTTTTCTATTTATTATTTTTTTTTTCAGTCTTGTTTTGCTTGCAGCTTTTTCTTGCTATTTAATTTGACTTGATTTTATTTTGGCTTGTCATATTCCTTGATCCAGAGGTGCAGTCTCAGGTTATGTATGCAAGTTTAAGTGGATGGTAAAAACATGACCGAATCTGTAAAGAATTTACTGTGAGGTCAATTTCCTGTGGCTGGGCCTTACTGCAGATTACGGCAGGAGGGGGTTTGTATGAGAAAAACAGCATAAAATGTTTTTCTTCAGACTGACTCAATGTGATTGACTTCTTGCCTGAACTGCTAAAAGAAGATAGTCTGAGATGAAGAGGAGAATGGAAAGTGTCTCTGAAAATCCAGAATTGTGAAATACTATCTTTCTGGAGCCCATCAGCCTCCGAATCACTCGCACACAATTGCAGCTGCGCTCGTACCCGTGCACACATGTATTTATCCTCCCCCAAAGCCCCAAATACTCATTTAGATTTGAAAATCACTTGGTTCGCACTGTAAAATACACCACCGTAGAGATACAAACCAGATACAAACCGGCCCTCGGGTAACCTGTTTTTTAATAAAATATAAAATAGAATAGAATAGAATAGAATAGAATAGAATAGAATAGAATAGAATATTTTCAGTTGGAAGGGACCTACAATGATCATCTAGTCCAACTGTCTGATCACTTCAGGGAGGACCAAAGATTAAATGTATAGGGATCAAATACATCTTCAGTTCTTAAAGAGTTAGATTCCTCAAAACCACTGCAATTTGGCATGTGGCTGTGTGGCCAGGCCATGCGCGTCAGGTTCCATGGGGCTCCCCTTGCGAGTTGTTACTAACATATTGACAGGATCATGGCTTTTTACACTAATAAAATTAATTAAAGTAATAACAGCATACTAAGCTGCTAATACAATCATTGTCATTTTACGTTTCAAATAGTATTTACCAATGGGCAGGCAGAGAAATGAATGAGGGAAGCAACAATTATCAGAAGGAAATACGATCTAGACATCAAAAAATGGAAAACGACTTACAAATCTGCTGCAGTCCACACACACCAAACTAATTTGTTTTTCTGCATTAATAACTAAGGTATAAGAGAACAAAAATATAATAATTAAAGGTCGCCCTGAGCACCAGAGTCATTATGGTCTATGACGTATTGTTTATCTCTTTCATATGCACTGAAAGTAGGTGTGTGTTTTGCCTAGCAACCGTCACTAATGAGGTTCACAATTAAGAAGGCTGAATCCTCTCCCCTAGTCCTCTCCTTCCCCAGAGAGCGAGAACTAGCAACATTATAGGTTCAAGTAAGCATGCTCAGCCCTGTGGTGTTAGGTTTTAGTCTAGGTCCAAATTCAGCCTCTTCTAATGAGCTATTATGATCTTAGCAAAAAACAAGTATTTATTTTTGTAAGCTGCATGAGAAGAATTTGACTCTAAGCAGAACATATCGCTTAGAAAAATAAAGGCCACTTTTACATGCTGCAGAAAATCTACATCAGTGGCACTAACCCATAGCTGCTTCTTTTTTTTTTTTTTTTTTGCAGTATG